TGCGGCGAACAACTTTAATCTGCTCATCTTATCCACGCACACAGACACACTAATATGTGTCCTAACTAAATCTATCGGTAACTAAGGCCTTTCTAAAAAGTAGTGAATTCAAACTCCCCCTTGGCTTGTTGTTTTTGGGCTCTGTGGTCATTCAGGACGGGAATGGAGCTTCATTCAGATTGTTTATGTTTTGCTTAGAGGCTCAGACATGTTTCATTCATAACTCCCTCTCCAACCTTTAGCCCTGCCTCGACATGGGGAAGAGACACGGCCCCACCCACTCAGGGACTTTAAGTGGAGTCTGTAGTAGAAGCATAATGGCAGAGTACAAATCAAGGAGAACGAGCAGGCTCTCCAGACCAATATAATACTTTTGTTTTGGTATGAAATACATCAAAGGAATAATCGAATCATCTTTGGGCTGCATATCTGAATGGACATCAGCTGTTGAAACGGCTGCCCTCAGTCTGAACACTAAGGGAGGTGTGGGTAGGAGGGGAGGGCGTGCACTGAAAGGACAGCTTTATTTTGGTTTGGGAGTCTCTGAAAGTGCCATATTATACCTTTTAAGTAGCTGCAGCTTCTTAAGTTTGGGATCTTCAGATTTGTAAGCATTAAAGGTTTTAGTTTAACTCGTCTCAGCAGTCATTAAGGGCTATTACAATAAGTGGCCAATTATATGTAAACACTTCTATGATAACACTGTTTGTCCTCGTTACACTCAAATATAATTACTTGAATCATTTTTTGCCGCACTGTCATTCTGTTTTGTGCTTCATTGTTTACATACACCAGTAATGTGGTTAGGCGGATTAAAAAGAGGCTTAACCTTCACCTCTGCTTTTTTAGCAGCCGGAGGACACACACACACACCCAACCTTCCACGAACACACGAACAGGCTCTCTCCCTCACACTCACACACACGCACACACACAGACAGACAGACAGACACAAATGCACATGGTTAATCCACACATACCATCACACACTCTGAGGCATTTGTTGGCAAACAACACAATGGAAACTGCCTCTTCTGTGGATTTCCTTCCTTTGTTGAATACAGATTATTTCCGAGTGGACACACCAAACTTGTGAGCAGGATGTGAAAAGCAGGAGCTCTAACGATGGCATTTTGCTGGGGTCAAGACTTTCTCATCCTGGGTTTGAAAAAAACAAAAAAACAAAAACATCCCTCTGTGTGACCCAGGCTAATGAAAAGTTTCAGCTCATGTGGTCATGAGGGGACCAGCTGTAGTGTTGAGATGGCTGTTTTTAAATCGTATCAGTTGGTATGTTTGGTGGCATGAATCACCCTGCTGCACTCTGCAGCTGGCACAGATGACATACTGTATACCAAACACACACACACGCACACACACACACACACACACACACACACACACACACACACACACACACACACACTCGTGCTGTGGGGTTAAATATGGAAAGTGGGGCAGTGTTTCCTCACCAGCATGGCTTTGTGGTTGAGGCGGTAGGCTGCAGTGTTCCTGGGACACACCCTACTCTCAGCAGTGGGGGCTCTTTAGTCTGCTGCTGATACACTGGCAGTCAGCCGTGTAATGAGCACGCCTGTGTTTAGTTTATTTATGTACCTGCCTCAGAAAACACTCAGTGTTAACTGTATGAGCAGTTCGTAAAACTCGTAAAGTTCGTAAGATTTCATGTTAGATAGATTTATTCTGACTAACTGTATGACATGCTGCTATGTGACTGTGTGATTGATTGGTTGACTGCTCTTCCAGTTGATGAACTGTTTGGTTAATAGGGGCTATTAAGAGATCAATAAATACAATGTGATTGACCTATAAGGGGAATAAAACAACCCTCCACTCAACCTGTTTAGCTTTTGGAACAAGATAAAGAAAAAACGTTTTTTAGACATGGAAAATACACTTGAAGTTTTATCGCCTTTTTCTAGTCTTCTTCTTACGACTCAAAGCTATTTTACACTGCATGTCACTGACCCATTCACACCACATTCACACACTGATGGCAGTGGCTGCTAAGTAAAGTGTCCATCAGTATCAACTAGGTATGTGTTCCGACCGAGGCAGGGATGAGCTGACTAAACGACTAAACGCCATCTAAACGTTTGAACATCCACGAGTTGTCCACGAGTACTAGTATTAATAGTGGGTTAAAGTAGACTAATTATTCATGTATTGGCCTTCAATGCAGGTCAAACTTTATGCTCAAACTGCAACACAGCCTCCCACCACTAGCTAGGGCTGTAGCCACAAGGGGCCTTCATCTCCCTCCTCTACAACCAAGATGTAAACAAGAACAGTAATTAGATAGCATCTGGTAGGAGCGCAGAGGTTTGGCAGTATTTTGATTGAGAAAATGGCGACATAGTTGTATGTTGGCTGTGTGAGGTTCAACTGGCAATATGAACCGGAACAATCAATGAATTCAATCATTTTTTATTTGTATAGCGTCAACTCATAACAAGTGTATAACAATGCATAATCACATTCAGCACAGGCATGTGGACGTTAGCCCTGGGGAAGGGCCAAGGCCGGCAGCGTTAGGACTGCAACTTCTGAAGTCTGAAACTTTGAAAGGCGATAAATAATGGTTAATATAGGCTGTGATCAGGGCTCTGTGCAGGCCAGTAAAGCACTTCCACGCTAGATAGGGAAAACCTTGACTTTGTGAAAGGGGGGGCATTGTCAGGTTTAATCTAAATTGGGACTTTCCCAGCACAGGTTTCATTTAAAAATGTAAAGCTGCAGCATTAACATCTCATTTAAAGTTCAACTAAGAAGACTTGCAAAAGATGAAAGACAGCCTCAGGCCTAAAGTACAATAAAGCAGCTTTTGGCCAATTATGAAGTTCACATGTAGTTTACTGTAAGGTAATGAATAGATGATCCAGCAGAGGGGGCTGTGGAGTTATTTTTGATGTTTGAGGAACTGATCTCAAAAAACCAAAAAGAACAGTCCAAAATGTCTCCTTTGCAGCCTTTAATGTGCTTGTTTGTGGTGTGAAACTGCCATCAAATGAATGTAGCGTGGTGATTTACATCACCATGAATAAGGTAATGCAGCCAGGAAGAAAGGAAACTGGATCAGACAGTTTTAACAACATCAGAAAGTTCAGCAGAAAGTGAAGACGTGTTTTTGTTGATGTTTTGTAAAGATGGCGATGAGACCGATAAACCGAGCAGAGAAAGGCTGGCTGCCACCGCCACCAGAGATCATCTGGCATTATAGTCGGTGATGACACAACATGACTCTGCAAATTCCCCTCACTGGTCATTGGTCAGCTGAACTCCCGGATGAGCTGATGACTGCTTGGATCTGGTGTGTGTGTGTGTCTGTGTGTCTGTGTGTCTGTGTGTGTGTGTGTGTGTGTGTGTTAGAGAGTCCATGTTTAGGTACAGATTGTGCTTCTGTGCTCCACCAAGTCATGCATTTCTGTCACTCTATATATTCCCATCTGAAACTGTGCCTCCTTGTGGTTGATAGAGGTATTATAATCAGTGAAACAGTCATTTGCTTAGTTAATGTCAGAGGTTGGGGGGGGATCAGTGGGTTCATCCAGATGTAGTCTGTCTTTCTCAGGGCAGCTCTAGCAGGATGAATGCCTGTCATCACAGGGTCTTTGATCCTGGTCTTTTTACTGCACACATTTTTTTTCAGTTCACATCAGATTTCTCCCTCATCGCCGACAGCATTCACATTTAGTCATTTTGTGTATCTTTCTTGTCACATAAGACTTCTCAGGGGGCTATGATGCAATAGGCTGTTATTTTGTTTTGCTGTTGTCATTGCATAAGCTTTGGATTTAAAGGGAATTTCCAAGTCCTTTTCTTTTAACCGCTTCTCTCCATTTCTATCTCTCATTTGATTATTTCCTCCCCAGCTTAGCTTTACACTTCTTTTCTCTTTATCATGTCAGCCTCTGCTTCATTTCCTTCGGTTTACAATTTGCCAAAGTCGGGTTAACGCTAACAACATCTCCGGAACTGCAGGCACTGTCTCTTTGTTGCATTTCCCCCCTGAAATTAAACTGTAAATCCATAAAGATCACAGTTGTGTATGAAGTTGAAGCTAGAATTAGATAGAAATGCCTTCAAAATAAGACTCTTTTTTTTCAGACACATTCTTGGTTACATGTTAGCATTGTTTCTGTCGCTTATTTTGTGACTGTGGTTCAGCATGTAAGATAAGAGAATATAAAGTTTCCCACAATTATTTTAAATGAATTACTTCTTCGGACATCATTACACTTTTCCTTAAATAAATGAAAGTGTATTTTAGACATACAGTTGTCTTTAGATAACTCTCACTAATACAGGTATTGCTCCTTCTGTTAGACATTTGGATACTCTTTAAAGTTATTTGTGGGCCATTTTTGGATAGGACAGCTAAGGAGAGGAAGGAAAGGCTGGGAATAGAGAGTGTGGGATGACAAGTCGGATTTGAACAAACGGCCGCTGCAACGAGGACTTTAGCCTCTGTACATGGGGCACGGGACATAATCTCTAGGCTATCCGGCACCCCTTTTCGATGCTTTTTGGTGCCACTTGTTTTAAAATGATACAGCTCTGAAATGATTGATAGAATTGAGAAGTACTGAAACCCTAAAAAATCTACAGATCTTCAGTCGTAGTTTTGACCAAAAGCTGTCTCCAGGAGAGAAAAGAAAGAGAGTGAGAGACAGAGCACTGTCCAATTTGCACATATTAGTTCCACAACATTGCCAAAAGACTTGTGCAATTTAGAAAATGTGCCATAAGTGTCAAGTCTAAGTTTGAAATCCAGGTCTTCTCACAACCTTGCAAGTTTATATGATGATACTAAATCTAAACGCTTCACTCATTTTGATCTGGAAAAAATGGTATGTTAACTATATTTTGGATCTTTCTTTACGTTTGATATCTTATTGACTCTTTGTTTGAGAGATGGACAACATCATTAACAAAAAGATACTGACGTTGTTCATCCTTATGTCTGTGTTTGTGTGCAGCCATGGCGGAGTTAGACCTGAGTCTGAGTGATGCGCTGACTGACAGCGTTCCCCAGCAGGGCCCTGAGAGCCTGGTGGAGCGGGATTTTGTGGCCCAGCTGGAGGCCGAGACCTTTGATGACCAGATCGGGGAGACGGTGGGAAAGACGGACTACATCCCCCTACTGGACAACGATGACCCCAGGGCAGGTGAGACTCTTATGATGGAGCCCAGTGGAGAATAGGATATGTAGAAATGACATTCCTACCCGTTAGTCTCTTCTGTTCAGCTCTTATATACATAACGAGGACACAGTGACAGAACCGAGATGTAAAATAGAATTTCCACTGTTGAATGGACCTTAATCTGTGCTACAGAAATCACTTTCAAATGATTTATATAAGAACAGTTGTTTCCATGTGTAGTGCACTATAGGGGAAGAGACAAAATAAACTGCACTTGCCTTAGAGTCTTGGGGTGCCTTTGAAAAGTTGATAAAATAATTGCTACTCAGTGTTTCCCCTAGGTTTAAAGCGTCGGGGGGGTGGGGACAAGGCGACACGGCGACACAAACACTTGAAGGAATCTTGGTGTTCATGTGTTACTTTTAATGACAGCTGTCCTTTTCTATCGGAAAGGTATCCTTAAATGACTTCTTTCCCTGATTTCCGACTCTATCCACTATCCTATCCCTACAATAAAGGCACAAAAAGCCCAAAAAGAAATCTTAAAAAAGAAATAGGGGAAACACTGCTACTTCAACCAACCATGAGCTTTGTCTGCAGCTTTAAAGGTCACATATTATTCAAAATACACTTCACCATGTTGTTCTAAAACGTTGTCCCTAGTCCGTCTACAAACGGACTGATAAAAGTCCATCCTCTCTCTCTTTTGCCTTCTCCACTTTTCAGAAAACGTTTGCTCTAACAGGCCGTTTGGATTTTCCCTTTGATATCCTTTATTAATCTCTGACGGAAATTCAGGTTTACACTCTGTTATTTTTATAGGGACATGCTTCTCACACACATAGGCCTGAATCACACACATGCACAAACAGAACCTGTGGACATGCATTAGTGGAGAGATGTCAGAGCGGGGCTGCTAAGCAGAGAGCGCCCCAGAGCTGTTGGGGTTTCGGTGCCTTGCTCAAGGGCACCTCGGCACTGCTCGGTAAAGTGCCCTGTCACCTCTCCAGCTACCAGACCAACTTCCAGATTTTGGTCCGCACTGGTTTGAACCGACGACATTCCGGTTCCCGACCCAGGTACTGTCACCCCGGGCTACTGCCCTTTGTGACATCACAAAGGGCAGTAACCCCTCCCCTTGGTAGGTGACACTCCCTCAGCTAGGTGTTTGTTCTGCCCTCTGAGTCTGCCTGCTCACTGTAAATGATAGGGCATGGTGCAAGAAACCCAGAGCCACTCAAGCCCTTCCAGAGAGGGGCGTGGTCAGAGACAGCTCATTTACATTTAAAGGTACAGACACAGAAACAGCCTGTTCTGAGCAGGGCTGAAACAGAGGGGTCTATAGGCATGATCAAATACAGGATCAGAGTGGATTTATAGCAAGAAGATTGACAGACATGTTTCGGTGACCTCTGAGTCTTATTTAAACTGGTTAAAAAGGAGGATAATATGTGACCTTTAACTGCATTCCACAGTCAAGCCCATCCCATACCTCCTACGATATAGTGTTTTGTCTGCTTGATAACAGATAACAGAAAAAAATGAAAATGAAATCTATCAGAGACACAGTAAATGAATGAATTGACTGATGCTAAAAAAGCTGTGTACTTGCAGACCATTCAGGCTAATTATTGAGTCCTTGTTTTAAGATTATTGGATTATTCAGGTTCAAGTGGAATTAGCTTCAAGATTAACAACACTTCATCTTATATGTCACTCAAACCTGAGTTTATTCCACCACCCTTAACTCCTAAAGCAGTATTGCACCCTGTTGACCTAAAAATTCCTGAAAAACTTTATAATTGTTGTTCAGGGTTTGACAATCTGCCTTATGCAACATGAGCTGCAGCTGCTCCTGAGTGACTGATAGTATCAGGCACCGCTGGACACTGGCTGCCATTTTGGATCTGCTGGGTTGCCATTCAGCTGCAGGGGGGACATAGTAGCCCAAAGATAAACAGGCACGACGGTCACTGCTTTAAATATCCCAGCCAAGCAGTACAATTTGGGAACTTGGCAGGATAATCTGTGCCAACTCAGAGCAGTTGTCCCCTGTCCAATTGCCCTCGCCTGCTCCTGCAAAGATGCTCATGGTTTTATTCCTGAGGTTCATGTGTCCTCGTCCAACCTGTCTGCTTATAAAAGTCCAGGCCATGACTCTTTAGATGATACATAACAGAGCTGTCACAACATGGCATGCAAAAGAAGAAATGCAAAAGAACCAAGAGTGTCATGACTCTCAAAAAAGGTTTGTGTCAAACTGATTATGCTGTTCCAGATGTTTCAGAACTGAAAAATGTTTTTATTTAAAAAAAAATGTTTTCACGGAAGAAAAGTTTAGATATCTTTTGTTTTTCACAGATAGCTTCCAGAATGTGAAGCATGCAAAAGTATTACTCTTTGTGACGGATCAGGTATGACCTTTTGACGACAGTTTTTTTTTATAGTCAATAGCACTGCATCAGAGGATTTTTGAAATAACTTCATACCAAGCTGATTTTTTTTTTAAAAGCTTTTTTGGCCTTTATTTAGAGATAGGGCAGTGGTGTTAAATATTTTTTGTTGAGTCTTATATTTCATACAGTTCAGTGTTTCCCCTAGGTTTACAGCTTTTGGGGGGTGGGGGGAGAGAGACGGACGCCGACACAAACACTTGAAGGAATCTTGGTGTTCATGCGTTACTTTTAATGACAGCTGTCCTGTTCTATCAGACAGGCATCCTTAAATGACTTCTTTCTACAATAAAGATTGTGGAAAGAAAACAAAAAATAAATCTAAAATAACATTATTTTTTTAGGGCTAGGACAGTGGATTGAGTTGTAAAACAGGGAGGGCGAGAGAGAGAGAGAGAGAGAGAGAGTGGGGAATGACATGCGGGAAAGGAGCCACAGGTGAGATTTGAACCTGAGCATTCTTTGCAACAGCAACAATAGCGTATGTGTCTGTTATATTGTTCTGTGAAAGAAATAGAACAGTTTTATGAACAGAATCTGGATATTAATAAGTATGTTTATATTTTCACTTCTCTGTTAAAAGCCCAACAAAGACTCAAAAACATGAGGTGTGTTTATCAGTCAAAGACAGTTAGAGGGAAATGTATTCTCACTGCAGAGTTGTTGGTAGATTTAGGGACATGGCCACTGTGAGGTATGTGTGTAGGTAAATAAGCAAATAGATAAACAGCAGAGTGAAAAAGCAGATAAGAGAAAGTGACATATAACCGGGCCTGACTCAGCTCTCGGGCCTGTTTTGGTAACCCAGACACTCTGGTCAGACAGTCAGACTGCATGTGGGCACTCTTCAGTGACAGGCTGCTGGAGGACGGGCCGTGGGTGGTGCTGCCAGTGATCAACTGTGGCACGCTGTGTGCATTTGGACAAACTCAGACATGCTGACACGCAGAGTGCCAAACAGCGAGGGCGAGGCAGGCAGGCCACAAATTATTGTCCCCTGTCAGCAGGAGAGCCAGACGGAGGAGGGCCCCCTTTTTCTTTTCTTTTTTTTTTTTAACAGAGTTGTTGATTTGTGCATTGATGCTCATGTAACATGCACTCCGAATGACCTCTGTGTCTTCGATGTCTTCTTTTGTGTCCTGCTTTTTTCCTTTGACACAAATACATCACACCTTGTTTGTGTTTGTGTTCCTCCATGTGGATCTAGAGTTCTTGCCTTCACGTTGCTGTTTAAATATGTGCATGCACTGTATATTAGTGTGTGTATTGGCTGCAGAATAGTCTTGGTTTTGGGGGTTTGAAGCTGCATGTGCTCATATGCATCCCTGTGTGTCTGTATCACAAAGGTGGATAACTGGGTCAACCACCTACATACCTCCAGTTGTATAAAGCTGTCTCACTTAGATCACCATGATAACCTAAGCTGCACAGCTACAAGAGATAAATAAACAACTATGTCCAATCAGCTCATCAGAAAATATATCTCAGAAGTCATATTAAATGGGCTTAATAAATATGCTGAATTTATAGTAACAATGACCACAGTTGTTATATATAATGACAATGCTGGTCCACATTTTGGATTTTGTTAAGCCTTAAGCTGGGTACACACAACAACAACACAAGCGACCCCTCCCCCCTTCAGACAATCCTAAACGAAGTCCCCATTTAAAAAAAAAAAGTTTCTAAACATTATCTTGCCAGATTTTCCTGAACTGCTCAGAAGAACGATGTGGCCGCGGCGATTGCAAATCATAAATAGTAAACATGTTCAATATTTACTCTCTGATGTGTGTGTGTGTGTGTGTGGGGGTGAAAACCAAGGACAGCCAAGCACCTTCTGTGAATGGTCACATGAATGAAATGATTGGGATTCGGGAATTGAGCAGACTTAAGAAGTAATAAGGACAAATGCGATATGCTGCTTGTGATACAATATTCAGCAGTTTAACTTTTTTCACTGCATATTATGTCCACTACACTAAACTAAATCAAGAACCGTGTTGTCAAATGCGAAATCATTAATGTCACTTCTGTCTTTGTATTTCTACACAATGGGAGTCAAGCCCACATACTGACTAAAACTGTGATCAAAGTCAAACCCTGTGAAAGACTGCATGCACCTCACAATCTGAACTCTTTGTATTTCAGTCTAATTGAACTTTAACATTAATTTTTAACGATGCAAATCTTTCAAATTGAATCTTCAGCAATCAATACATTTTTAAAACATATTTTCTATTAATATGATAAGAAAGATGTATACTTGGCCCGATTATGAACCGATAACATATTGCCACGTAAAATATTGTGTTACTACAGTATGCTGTATACATTTTTGCCCCCACCTTTACTTGTTAGATGGCACCTTGCATGTCTTGCACAGTACCTTATGTGTTTTAATATTAAGTGTTAGTAGAATGAGAGGATGAGAATGAGAACTGAGAAGGGATCTTCATTTAAAAATAAAATATCTGTTGTAGTGCATGTCTATCAATGTGCATGTTTTATATCAGAGCCTGAGTGTACTTGTATACATGCCATGTACACACTAGATAAATAAAGCGTCTGAGGTACACACTAGATAAATAAAGTGTCTGAGGTACACACTAGATAAATAAAGCGTCTAATGTACACACTAGATAAATAAAGTGTCTGAGGTACACACTAGATAAATAAAGCGTCTAATGTACACACTAGATAAATAAAGTGTCTGAGGTACACACGAGATAAATAAAGAGTCTGAGGTACACACTAGATAAATAAAGCGTCTAATGTACACACTAGATAAATAAAGTGTCTGAGGTACACACTAGATAAATAAAGCGTCTAATGTACACACTAGATAAATAAAGAGTCTGAGGTACACACGAGATAAATAAAGAGTCTGAGGTACACACTAGATAAATAAAGAGTCTGAGGTACACACTAGATAAATAAAGAGTCTGAGGTACACACTAGATAAATAAAGTGTCTGAGGTACACACTAGATAAATAAAGCGTCTAATGTACACACTAGATAAATAAAGAGTCTGAGGTACACACGAGATAAATAAAGAGTCTGAGGTACACACTAGATAAATAAAGAGTCTGAGGTACACACTAGATAAATAAAGAGTCTGAGGTACACACGAGATAAATAAAGAGTCTGAGGTACACACTAGATAAATAAAGAGTCTGAGGTACACACTAGATAAATAAAGCGTCTGAGGTACACACTAGATAAATAAAGATTCTGAGGTACACACTAGATAAATAAAGCGTCTGAGGTACACACTAGATAAATAAAGAGTCTGAGGTACACACTAGATAAATAAAGAGTCTGAGGTACACACGAGATAAATAAAGAGTCTGAGGTACACACGAGATAAATAAAGATTCTGAGGTACACACTAGATAAATAAAGAGTCTGAGGTACACACTAGATAAATAAAGATTCTGAGGTACACACTAGATAAATAAAGAGTCTGAGGTACACACTAGATAAATAAAGAGTCTGAGGTACACACTAGATAAATAAAGAGTCTGAGGTACACACGAGATAAATAAAGAGTCTGAGGTACACACGAGATAAATAAAGTGTTGTGATTCAGCAGTCAGAAAGCATAAACTCCTTCAGCCAATACATACTGCTCTCAGCCATTAGAGGTCAGATATATAGTAATGTGTTGTGCGTGTGCGTGTGTGTGTGTGTGTGTGCGTGTAGACACGGGTACTGCGTTGGAGAATGGAGAGCAAGAAGCACATGGAGTGCAAAAGCCTGGTAAGACATTTCACATAATTCCCTCTACTGGTAGTCAGCCTGCTATGGCCGCCTGGTCACTTTCATCCACCTCGCCTTTTTGTCTTTTCTTTTCTTTTCTTGTCTTTCAAATTATTATTTTTTTTACTTCTACATCTCTTCAGTTTGGTTTTCTGTATGTGTGAGAGTGAGTGTTCGCACATCTGTGTGTGTGCAGTACTATCAGTGTCCTTGAGGAGCAGGATATGGCTAGCTGCTCTCACTGCTCTCCAACATCCATTCAATGTCCTCCTAAGTACAAGGCGGCAACTCTTTTTCCCTCTCTCAGCTATTCAATGTGAACACGAGAGAAAAAGGAATACAAATAATAATAAAAAAATGCACGTATACTCTGTAGCTACTTTCTTCTTTGAACTTTTAAAGATTAAATGACTACATAAACTTAAAACGAGGCTTTGAAGTTTCCATTTAACAGCTAACTGTTTTTCTGTATAATTATGCATTATCTGGAAAAGCAGAAAGAAAGCTGTGGGGCAGTAAGGGAGAACTAGCCATGAATACTGAAAGGCATTTGCAGAGGCCAATATTGATTGAAGTGATTTTCTTTGAAAAGTGTAAAACTGTTTGTTTGTGGTCTGCTTAAGTCTTACAACACAGAGAAAAATGCTCAGTTTCAGAGTTGCTCTCCTTGTGATGTCACAGTGGGATTCTGGTCAAAAAAAAAAAAAAAAAAAAAAAAATCCCCTCCCCTCCTGTGTTGTCTTTCTGGCAGCCAGGTTTTTCCCAAGGGGCACGCTGACGAGTTTCCATGGAAGCTCAAAAGCTGAACTTGTGTCAGTCAGCAGGGGTATAATATGTCCTCTTTAAGATGTTTATCAGCACTCTTATCAGAAACTTGCTGGTGAAACAGGAAGTGAGGGGCGGGGGAAGTGTGGAGAGCGGTGAGGGGATGAAGGAGGTGTGTCCATAGTGAGCTTTTATTAAAACTGCAGTGAAAGTACAAAAATAAGCCTTTAAAAATGCTCCAGTTACATTATATTTAAAGCTCCTGTGAGGGACCTTTGGTTACTTTGCATCAATGTTGGCTGCCCCCTTGTGGACAAAGTGTCTTATATCTTTGCTAGACTTATCCCGTACATGTGTAGCTATTATTTTCTGTCCCAAAAAATCTCATCTTGCTTTCTTTTAACAGTCAACTTTATCACAAATTTTCTGTGGATAGCTAAGTATTGATATTAAATAAACGCTGTAAATAGACTTGTCTGACAGCTTCCCCGTCGCAGGCACAAAAAATTACAATAAAAAGCAGTCAGTCTTCTTGCTGACGGTCTAGTTTGCTATTTGATGTCCTAAAAGGCATCAGCTTTTAGTCTTTTTGCAGAACCATTTACAATTTCATCATTATGGCTTAAGAGGACCAATATGTAACTATGACACCTAGTGGTTAAAATGGGTACTGTAGAGAGAGTCACCCCAACCCCTCCCTGGAGTAGATGCATGCTGGTTGACATGTCACAGTCACTGAAGCTTCACTTTATCTTCTTTATCTCTTTATCTCCAATATTTATTCTAGTTTCACCACCTTTTCTGGTCGTCCGCCTTATTCAAAAAATGCTGAAGGTTTTTGGGTCGGGAAGAATCAGTTATAGCTGGACCAGTTTGCTTGTTGGCTTCCATCGCTGCATCACCTGTTGGTTTGCTGTTTGCCAGGCAAACAAATACAGAACACCAGAATCTAAAGTTCGAAGGTGGACATACTGTCTGCTGTATCGTTGTCAGAGAAGCCAGCACTTCAACATAGCATGTTTCCTCAATGTCTGATCATATAGTAAGGTCATTTTGTGACTTCATTCAGTAACTATTAAGGCTGGTTAAAAAAAAAAAAATTCATCAATGCGTTGCAATTATTATTTTCCCAATTCATTATTGATTCAGAGAAATCCTGAGATCAATTTGTTGTCGTTGTAATAGTACCCCTCTCCACTAGGTGGCACTGTGGGTGCTGTGAATGCAAGTCAGACACAATTGTGCACTTTACATATAGTTTTGGTCCGTGCCATTACAGCACCGTTATGTTTGTTACGATTTTGCTCTGGTAGATATCTTACATATTGGACCTTAAATAAAGACATACTCTTTGGGTGCTTGAATATTTCAAAATGAATTCTTTTTTTGAGTTTAAAATAAGTTTTTCGAACAGCTGGGTGACATCACTCAGGCTCTGTCCATAAATATTTACAGTCTATGGGTGTAACCTGCATTATAAACCACAAACCACATACAACTGTATGTCTTCTCTTTATATAAGAATAATGTTAAAAAAAATAATCATTTTAAATCACTTGTTTGCATCATTGAAGCATGAACTGTTACTTCGGAGACAACAGGACGTTGTCAAATGTCCATCCTGATAATATCGATTGCATTAAAATGAAGTGATTAACCAATGAAGTCATTGAGGCTCAGAGGAGCCCCTCTCACTCAGCAGTCCTTTTATTGCATCTGATGTGAATGAATTGTTAAAGTGTTATCTCTTATTGGAGATAATTAGCTATAGAGAAGAGATGCAGTTCTGGAGGGGAATATTTATTGTGTCTAATGAACCGAGCCGCTGTTTTTCCCCTCTGGCTGTCTGAAATAGACTGAGAGGAGAACTCTGTCTGGTGTGTGTGTGTGTGTGTGTGTGTGTGTGTGTGGTACGTTTTAGAAACCAGCTCATCAGATTTTCTTTTTTCCAATAGTCTGTCTCTTTTTCCCCCCCTTCCCATCTCTCAGCCTCTTGCTCCACACATACTGCTGTTCCTCATTTCACTTTTTCCTATCACCTTGCAGTCTTTCCATTCGAAGCTGCAGAGCTGCTGTGCATGTCATTAGCAGTGAGGATTGTGCATGGGGGTAGAAATACAGAGTACATAAGAAGTCTTCATCACTGAAAGCATGCTATATTCCCACAACTGCACATATCTGCACAGTAGGCCTACAATATGTAGAAAACAGCGTACCATAATACATTTAGCCACAAAACACACAAGAAAAGAACATCTTCTTGCCTAGGACAGCTGAATAGAGGCAGGAAAGAACCCAAGGCCGGGAGTCGAACTGCTCCATGCTCTAAACTGATAGTGGGGCTCTTAAACTATTTGGCCCCATTATCCGCTTCCAACAAAACTAAGTCCTGATTTGTTGACGCTTCTAAAGATTATCTTGCCAGATTTCCTGCGGTGTGAGGTGTGTTAAGACCAAGTGATCCGATTTTCACAAAAACGATCTAAAATATTAAGCATGTTTATTATTTATGATCCAATTTCCTGTTGTGAGAGGCAACCCCGAGGTCAGCCAAGCATGCACTTTGTGGATTTATCATGTGGAACCAAACCATAGTCAATCGGGAAGCAAGTTCACTGAAGACGAAAGCAGGACAACCACAGCTAATTATTCCCACTCACCTCCAGGTCGTGCTGCATGTTCAGTTCATTTTCACGCCGCTCCCGCAAATTCATCCAAACTTTCTTTCTTGTGTCTTCCTGCATTTCAAATAATAAGCAGGCCAAAAACTCTTCTCGTCGTCCGCTGTGGTCCAAACCTCTTCTTTATCTAGACGTAGGCTGCAAGGATTAAGCCGCTTTCACTCCTGAAAATCTAGAGAATTTCAAGAGGACTGCCCCTGATATCCTCCTGATCTGGTTCACACATGCACCTCACAGCAGGACACTATCCCAGTTTGACGGGAGGAGGGGTCGGGGGGGTCTCTTTGAAGCAAGACATGATGTTAAAAGAATGAAGCGTAATTTGCGGACTAAGCAACAGAGTCTGCCGTGTGATGCTCGAACAAAAATGTTTGGCTTCATATCAATGCTACGTGTAGTCTGAAAGAATCACAATAGCATCAAAAGAGCAGAGTGGAACATGCTGGCAAACAGAAAGACATCATGCAGCAGTTTAATCACAAGCACAAAGGTCACACTGGTCAGGCGCATACAGTGTGTAGTCGTGCACCCCCATCAAAAACCTCAAGATAGTGTTCTTATTGTTTTTACGATTTCACATTTAGCATCAGCTACATGTTATGTTGCAATCTTACACATATTTTTTTTTAGTGTGCTTTGAATTGCAGCTCATTGCTCTGCAGCTGGAATGAAAAAAAAACTTGATTAAGGAAGAATAATAGTGTCTGCTTCTTTGTTGAAATAAGAAACAGGCTTTTTTAGATTAAAGTAATAGCAGTGGTAATGGCATTAAAGAACTGTCATGTTGCCATGGTGGAGGTGATAAAGCAAAGCTCTGTGTGGCTGCTATCCTACCCCATCTGTCTTTCTGCTGCTTTTTGAAAATGAAACCCCTATTGTCTGCAAAGGAATTAAACTGGGATAAGCTGAGTGAGTGCCTGAGTGGCTGATACAGGTGCATTGTGGGAAGGATGCAGCTGTCAAACCTGCCCACTGCTATTTCTCATGTACTGTATGTGTGTGTGTGTGTGTGTGTTCCATTGAGAGGACTGGAAGCCTCGTTGGTTTCGGATGTCGGTGACAGTGGGAGGAGTGATCAGCATGCAAATCAGACGTCTGTGTTGGCATGTTAGCCGCTGAGCCGCGTGGCTGTTTGCACGGCATGGTTACAGAGCTTTAAGTGCATGCGTGTGAAATGCTGCGACGAGAATTCAGTTTTTCCCTCTCTGATTTCCCACAATGCGAACAGTAAAGGAGCACAGTTGCAGGAGAAACAGTTGTGCCATGTGGCCTTACTTAAGCAGACACAGCAGCCTCGCCTCGTGGAGGTGCGTAGGATTCATTCATCATTGTGTTTGCAGCAGACCCAAGAGAGAGGACAGAGGCGTTATAAGTAGTAACTGGGTCATAGAATTGAGAGCGTAGGCTTAATGCTGACAGGGCAAATGCAGATGTGTGTGTGTATGGTTGTGTTCTATGTATGTCTTCAGATGCTGCATGTGGCCTCCAATGCACGACACTTCTTGCATGGATGGTAAATAAAGTAACCAGTGTGATGCTTTGCAAACATTTGAC